AAAAAAAAAAAAAAAAAAAAAAAAAAAAAAAAAAAAATATTTAAATACTTCTTTCTTATTCTATTTGAATCCCAATTGCTTCCCAAACTGTACGCTAAAAGTTTAAAATTCATGTGATTTACGAGTGCATTTTAGCTAACAACCCATGTTACCCAATATTTGAAATATTGATACTAAATTGTTTGCAACCTCAACAATGAACGACAGTGGTTCAAAGAAGATCCTTTTTAATAAATCTACAGTAAGTTTATTTTAAAATCTATTAAGAGTCGTGGTTTAAAACAAATCTGTCATTTGGCTAATCTATTTCAAATTTTACTAGCCATTGTTCAATTTAATACTTACCTATCTGCATTGATAATAATTTCAAAAACACAATTAACAACAAAACAATAATTCACAAAGAATCTAAACTAATCAAATATACTTTTTATTAATAGTTATTTAGCTTGAAAGCCGAGCTGCTTAGAAAACAGGAGGAAGTGAATGAGAAGAGACGACTGCCACAACACAAGCTTGAGAACTTCAAACCTCCTGTAAAAGAGAAGAAACAGGACAAAGATCCAGAAACTCCCTATAAAAAGACATTCAAAGACAATTTACAAGCTGTTGATACTGAGGAGTTAGAAGCTTGTAGGAAAGCCAAGTAAGTATTTTTGCCTGATAGATAAAAGTAAATAGAAAATTATACTATAATGAAATTGCCAATGAAAGATAAAAATCTCATTACTTTGATTCAAGGTTGGATTGTAAAAATTATTGTGTTTAACACGTTAAACACTATGGGGGTCACCGGTGACCGATGTTAGCGGAGGATTTCCCTTCAACAGTTTTTTTATTGACAGTTAAAGCCATAAGCATATTTTATGGTTATTTCTTTCCAACTACAAGTTTACAATATGAATAATGTCCTCTTGTGTACATGCCAAATTAAACTCAATCGAATTATTTTTATAACGTTTTCTTAAATTTTTTTCATATTAGGGCAGCATTAGAAAAGAAAGCAGAGTTGTATGAGCACTTATCAGATAGCGCTGGCAACTCTCAGCTAGCCGGCAGATTCCTTGTGGACTTTAATACCAAGAAACAGCAAGAACCAGAGAAAGTACCCGAGGAGGCACCAGAAGAATATCAAAATGAGAGCAGTTTCAGCCAAGATGATGATGAATGGTAAATATTATTTATACTTAATATAATGTCAATGCAAGATATGTATTGACTTGTCCCGCTTTCACATTAAAATAGTCAAAAGTAAAGTTGGATTTGACATCATAGTCATCTATCCCAGAATCCCCAACAATCCTCAAATCCCTAATTTCCAAAACACCAATAAAATTCTTGTAACTCCTCTGGTGTTTCGGGTGTCCATGGGTGGCGCCGATTTCTTACCATCAGGTGAGCCGTCCGCTCGTTTACTGACTTATCCCATAAAAATAAAATAAACTAGTGTTGGCATTTTTAATTGATAGAGGCACCTTTTTTGGGGTAAACTCTTTGTAAGGGGATAGCCACGAATGATGTATACATAAAGTAACTTGATTTATATGTCAAAAAGAGAAAAGTACTTCTAAATGACTATTTTCAATAAAATCTTTATTTTTTATTTTTTAGGACTGAATTCACCGACTGCTTGGGTAGAACTCGAAAGTGTCATAAATCTGACTTGGATATGTACCGGAAAAGAGATGCTGCTCTCTTGAAATCAATGAGTAAAGATAAAAATCCTTCTGAAGATATTGTAGAAGCTAAACCAGAGGTAAGAAAAGAACGCATTATGTATCAACCAATGCAAGTCTTTGTTAAAATATTAAAACTTACCATATTACAAAGTGTTTGCTAGCTGGAGCTTTTATCTAGTTAAATTTAAAGACTCATCTACAAATACATTAGTCTACAAGTATATGATATTTGTTTTTAGTTAGTTCTCACATCCGAAATAGGTATCTAGAAATAATATTTGAGAATAAACTCCCATTACAATAAGTAATTTCAGCATTGTCATTATTGTAAGTAACATGTCCAACTTTAAAACACAATACAATTACCACATTTTTGCTGTTCACAGGAACCTGAAACTCCAGCTAAAGAGAAGCCACTTTTAGTCCAAACAACTAATGACTATCTACAATCATTGCGAGAAAAATGGGAACAGAAAGAAAAGGAACTACTAGGAAAAGATAAAGATATACATTATCAAGACTTACTGTTTGATGGTTTGTACTCATTTCTGCACTACTTATCTTTTCAAAGAGATCTAAACATTTAATCAGCTACATCATAGTAATGCAATATTTTTTTTGGATAATCTAATAGTCGTGTGCACGATTGACGTGCTAGGGTTTGCGGAAGGGATAAATATTGCTTGTTGTTTTTCCATTTTGGCAATTTCTACTATATATGTGCTGCCGGAAAGTGGCTCATTTTCATTTGTACATCTCTGTTTACCTCAATCAAAATAAGATTATTAAACCTATAAGTACTCTTTCTATGTTACTAACAAAACGATTCTTTGTTACAGAGGCCCGCATTCATGGCGTGGGTTACTATTCCTTCAGTACTGATGAAGCAGAGCGTAAGAAACAGATGGAAGAGCTTATAAAGCAACGGGAAGAAACTCTGAAGGCGCAGCAAGAAACTGAGGAGATTCGTAAGAAGAGAGACGAGATGATTGCTGCGAGAGTAGCGGCAGCTCGCGCTAGGCAAAGGGCAAGGGCTGGATTACCTCCTGAAGAACCTACTAAAGGTAAGATTTCTAAATAAATATATAACAGATGGTTCTAATAAAATCAGATTGTCCTTATTGACTTCTGATATGCAAAAATCATGTCATAGTGATTATTTTCTGAATTGACTTTGCATCTTTTTTACAGATAATCAAAAAGACTTCACCACGTGCCTACTAGAATTTTTGACGCAACAGAGGAACGAAGCTGATGCTAAAGCTAAGGAAGAAGAGAACAGAATAAAAGCTGAACAGGAGAAGGAAAGGCAAAGGTTACGTGAGGCTTACGTGCGAGAATGGGACATCGGTAAGGAAGGCGTAGAGAGCAAAATAAAGAAATTCAGAGAAATGAGCCAAGAAGAATACGTAGAACAACAAAGAGATAAAAGAATTAATGAATTTGCTCCACCACGAGCATCTACTTCTGGCAATGCTAATGTTTTCGACGACAAAGGCCATATGATAGGTAAGAAAGAAGCTAATGCTACTAAAACGTGGGCGGACGTCAGACCTAAAGCCAAGACGCCACCCCCACCCGAAATAGGTGATCTTAGCGAGATACCTCAAAAAGGGCTGTACTTTACAACAGCTAAGAAGAATGACAATTTCAAATATAAGAATTTTGTTAGAGCTTCAGAGCTGACGCCGACACCTATTATTAATGAGTTAGAAGACACTGATTCGGTACGCAATAACCCAAGGATAGAAAAAAGAAGACATGAGTCGGAAGGAGTGGCCATACCGCCACCGCCAACATTTGAGTACTATGGACCAACTATAAAGCAGACAAAATATGATAAACCCTTTGAATCAGACATAAGAGAAGCATACAGTCAAGGAGCAAAAAGCCTAGAAAATAAATCAAAGGGCAAACAGTTGCCGAAGCATTATGATTTTACTTTCGATTAAGTATATTTATTTATATAATAAAACACATTACATTTTCTGTGCGTGTTTATTTTGTGCCAATGCCAATCACATCTACATAATGTCTAAAAATATTGCTGAAAATATTTACAATTTGTCTATGCTAATATCACATGGAATGAGCGCTACTATACTACGTTAAATTTCTAACAATTAAAGCTTCACTTACAGAGATCAACTTTTGACAATGAATTATTCTAAAACTAGCAATAAAATATGAAGTTAAATGCTTAAAGATTATAATTTAGAATGACGCCGACGGCTAGCGTTAGTATGTGTGCATCGAAGCGGGTGGCGGTGTTATTTTTGGGTGGCATCGTCGTTTGGGTTGTGCTTGTAAGCATAACACGTTCAGTAGTTTTCGTTGTTGGTGCGTCAGTAAATTGAAAAGCTTCTGCAGTAGGTAACTGCTCACTTGGCTTCAGATTGTTAAACTTAGCTTCAGTTGGTGCCGTTTTTACTACTTCTGGGGTAGGTTCCGTCATAGCTTTTGTTTCTGTCATAACTTTTGTTTCTACAGTTGTCTGTGTTGTAACTTCAAGAGTAGTCTGAACTTCTGGGATGTTTTCGTTTGGTTTAGCAACATCCTTATCAGTTTCGTTATTCAATAGAATAATTTCTGTTTTCAGATTACTGGTTTCCATATTTTCACTAGGAATATCAACTTGTATGACGGAATCATTCATTTGAGTGTTCACGTTTGTTGGTTCAATCATCATCTCACTAGGGTTATTAGAAGCTTCACTATTTTGAAGTTCAGCACTAACTTGAGTCGTTTCAACGACTTGTTCTTTGCTTTTTGCTTCTGTTACGTTATTAGCTACATTGTCGTCGTGACTTTCATTATCCAGATCAATATTAACGTTAGTTGCGTTGATATCCCTTTCAATTTCTACAACAGCTTCTGCAGTCGCGTTGTCTATTCTGTTTCTTCTAGGATTCAAGCTTATGAACCGTCCAGTAGTTACTAAGGCTCGTCTAAGCCGGGTGTTGTGTGTCTTGGATACGATCTTCGCAAGTCCTGCGAATGCTTCCAGTTCGCGTTCGGTGTTAGGTCCATTGCATAGATCTCCGCGGCACGGGCAAGTCATCCGCCATGTTTTGGTAGAATTGCAGTAGAGCGCATAGCACTCATCTTGATATAACTTGACACAGTATCTTGATTCCTTGTATGCTGTAACATGTATAAAAGTAATAAGTAAGCAACAAATTACTCGAAGTCTTGTGGTGTAATTAAAATTAGAGGTGTGAACGTGACAATAACTGAGAAGTCCCTATGTAGAGACCGTTGTGGATAGATGGCGCTAGAGGTTTTAAGAATTGTAACTTTTCTTATTAAGACATTCAATTTTTACTAGGTAGGTTACGGGTTGACACTTACGCGGCGAGGTGGCGACAACTGCGCAGTACTGGTATCCAGGATCGCAGACGGTGACCTGCATTTGCCCTCCACTGCACGGTAGCGCGCGCTGACTGCGATGCACCTGCTCGGCTAGGGGACCACACCAGTAGCACCGACGATTCTCAGCTGCGGCTGAAATACGAGAATTAAATAATTTGAGATCTAATTTCATAGTTATTAGGTATTTTTTTCTTTCTCTTGAAGTTATTACACTGCTGGGTACAATTAATGGGGCACATCGGTAATTGGCGAAATGCGGTGTAGGTAAGTAACGCTTTGTGAGTACGCTAATGCGTAGGTTAATGTAGGCATTACCTACCCTCTCAGAAAATACCCTACTGAAATGCTATACATACATAACGTGAAATCAATTAACACATAACATTTCATAAACTATTCAATAACAACACACAGTTTAGGCACATGTAGGTAATAACGCGTCTATTACCGAAAACTGGGACATCAATATTTGAAATTAGGTTACCGCAGTAAATTGACCACGTGGTCGGATATATTGCTGGGTTATATATTGCAGGGGAAAGTTTATATATTATATAGTATATATTATAATTATATCGATTTATGTATATCTCTGAAATATACTAGTTGATCTTTCACTTGTTAAATAGAATCATTGCTTGCCTCTTGCACCTACCTACCATTTACTCTTCTCTGCATCACCCAAAGGTCAGACTGGTAGAAAATGCCTGCGGCGTTAAGTCCACCTATTTGTACATTTTGTGCATGAAGCATATTAAATAAATAAATAAAAAGCTCTAGTGAATAAAGGTTCCCACTTGCCAGTACCTACACAAATACATATACGTCATATAGATTGCACAGTGGGCGCGGTGGTTGGGCAACTGGCTGTCGCGTAACGTGTCACGGGTTCGATTCCCGCACGGAACAATTTCTTTGTGTCCACCACAGATCACACACATCCACAGATTTTTGTTCCGGGTCTGGGTGTGATGTGTATGTGAACTTGTGTGTTTGTAAACGCACACAGGAGAAAATCCTAGTGTGGAGCAACGTATTAAAAAATATAGGTTTGTACGATGACGATTATCATGTGGTTTATACGTTTATACTAAAGGTCATCACATACTTCACACCTCACACGTAACAAGCACTGCATGGCGTTTTTTGCTTTAGAAACAATACAAAAAGGCGGCGCAACGTCGCGCTTACAACCCTTTTTTTTATGGAATAGGAGGCAAACGTGCAGACAGATCACCTGATGGTAAGCGATCACCGCCGCCCATGGACACCCGCAACACCAGAGGAGCCACAGGTACGTTGCCGGCCTTATAAAAAGGAATACGCTCTTTTCTTGAAGGTTTTGTATTGACGTTATAAAATATGTCATACAACATATGATTTAAAGTTTATATTTAATTGGAATTGGAGCCGTGCCGCAACCGTGCTTGTTACGTGTGCGATGACCTTTCTTCTGATTGTAGTGACTATGTTCAGCCACCTCAACCGTTATTTCAACTCAGTATATGTATAAATATGGTAGCAATGGTTGATTGCGGCCCGTTGGTTGTTCCTCCACAAAATTGTTCGAAAATCATACCTCATATTTTTATCTAGACTCTTCACCACAGAAATATTCTTTTTTATTACATCTATGGTCGTCACCAAGTGGTCAAGGTAGAAAATAATCTTTGAAAAAGATGCACTCGGCCAAAGCAAATTAATTTATTCAGAGTTGTCCCATAGCTCGATAGATGGCGTTGGGCAATTTAAATTCAAGCAATGGTTTCGTTATCGGCAAAGCATTAGGTTGATTTGTTTGTAGTTAATTAAATGTCTCACTCTAAGGTACATCGTCTCAATTCAAGTACCAACGCACTAAAGAATCTTGTTCCGGAAATATTCCCCGAGTATTTACATAAAGACCTAAAAGGCGACAGAAAAAAGTCTTTCTGCTTGGTGTTAAGATTTCATTGAGGTAGAAACAGGCCCTAAATTGCACGTGTAGGTACAGTATGTGTCCAGTCCACCCGGGTTCCAATAGCCCGTTAGTAATTCAGTCGGCAATGACCGGTGGTAGAGTATGATCATTAATTCACACGATACAGCTGCCCTCTTGTTGATTACTCTTCCTATGCCAATGTTGATGTTTGCTCTCTGTTTGTTTGTGTGACTGTAGATCATTTCTAAACAATTTAGTATCTATGGTAACTATAAATTAATACGAGAGGATACTGGTTTATATACTGTGACTTATGGTCTGCCCGTGTTACTTGATTCTGTACTTTGTGTTATTCTATCATTTTGCCCACATTTTTAAATAGTCAAAATTAATATTTGTACTTTGATATTATTTTGTATTGTTTTTTTTTTTTACATATGTACTACTGTGCGGTCTAAATTGCATACTTTTGTGTGAAATATGGTTTCTCAGTAAGCGAATTATGTAGATATGTGAAATATAAAATCTTTTAGGCATTTCAGAGATGAGAAGAGATTTACAAATGTGAGTATGTGTTGTCTTGGTGTACCTCTTGTCTTTCGATATATGAGACACAATAGTCTTAATTCTGTCTTGCGTAGATCTGCGTTCCGACACTTCATTCTTTTAATGTAGGTAGACTTGTCGACGTCATACGGAACTTAAAAAAAAAACTTTTACGAATTTATAACGATAGCTTAAATATACCGTTGGAGACTTTTTTATATGATAGAGTATCCTAAGACGTACCGGATCCGCCGAGGTTTCGAACCCTCTTGTCATGCATGAGAGTGCGGGTTCGAAACCTACCAACGGCAAGTACCAATGTGGCTTTTTCCTGAGCCTTAAATCTGGCCTTATAATTTCTAATTATAAGTTTGAAATCGCCAACCCGCATTGAGCAAGCGTGGTGATTAATGCTCAAAACCTTCTTCGTGTGAGAAGAGGCCCTTGGTCAGCAGTGGCTTCTTGTAGGCTGATGAGGGTATCCTAAATCCTAAACTGTAGCAAATGCGCAGACGAGTCATGGGTCCAATGATAGTAAGCGATCAGCGCTGACTATGGAACACTTGCAACACCGAATGAGTCACAGCGTAGCCGCCTTGCCAGCCTTTAAGTAGGACCTGCTAAGGGGGTATTTAGGGGTGGTAATGGTTATTAATAGAGTTGGAATTAGATACAAAAGGTCGTATTATTCATAATCGTTTATCACATTTATATTAATAGTGCCACATTGTTTTTTAAAATGTCTGTCATGGCGATGGCTTCGGGCCTACAAGACAAGGGATTTAGGGCGTTAATGTTGACAACTTAACTTAGTTTAATGACACATTAAGGTCACAAAATTGAAGTCTATTTACTTAAAAATCAATAGGTAGACTAAGGTATTTATAAGTAATTGATTATAGGAATAAAACATGTCATATGTCGGTTAGATATAGTTGATAAATTAGTTTTTTATGATTACAGATATTTTGAATGTTCGATGTAGAATAGGTAGGTATTAAAGAAATAATAATGGTGCTCAGGTAGTTGAATCATTGTATTAAATTATTGGTCTTGAAAGTCAAAAAGAATATAGCTACTTATATTCGGATAATATGGTAAGTTGTGAGTTAGTTAATAATGTTTTTAAATATTCAGTGGTAACGAACAAGTGACCAGAAATTAATTGCTATAAATAGTGGCGTCACATTTTCCAGATGGACGTATTAAATTTTATATTAGATTGTAATTCATTATTGGCAACTGAGTCTCCAATAACATATTCATCTTTGGTAGGTACAACAAATACTTTTCAAAGTCTGAGGCCTTAGTACGAGTTTGATTTACGTTTAAAGTATTCGAAACGAGTTGATGTTCGGCACTCTGATTGGCCGGAGCCAATGAAGCAACCAATCACAGCGCTGAACGCGTACTCGTTAAGATTACTTTAAACGTAAAACAAACTCGTACTAAGGCCTCAGACATATATAAATAGTTAAATAGTAAAATTGTCTTTTCCTTAACCCTTTTGTTCCACGGTGTAGTAGGTATTTTCAAAAATAAATGCTGATTCATAATATCAACCACCTGGTTCATCCTCTATGCAAAAAGAAACATAAACTACTTATTAAAGATATCGATTGAAAAACAAACATAGTATGAAATGAAAGCCATTAATGACCGTTTCTTTGTATCGAAGAAAGATATGTTAGACAAGTAATGCGAATACCACCAGCACTTTAAGCTACTCTAGACTAAGAACTTTTTTAACACATTTTCAACTTTAATACTAAAACGATAAGGTTGCAAATCTTTACATAGTTTTGGGGTAGTTTGATATGCCTGTATGGTAAATATTAGACTTAAATGGTGATGGGACTCCACCATATGTTTTGAAGGACGTTCGTCAGTTGTTAAATATCTTATGACCCACGTCAATATAGCGCGATATTGAACTTTAAACGTTTTTATTTATTCAAAAGCTACAAGTGGACATCTTTGTTTGAATATTTATGTTTGAACTAGCTGTTGCCCGCGACTTCGTCCGCGTAGAATAATGACTTCTGGCAGAATTTAGGCTTTTGAATTAGTTTTTATCAAGGGATATTCTACGGTTATTTATGTTGTCAGAATTGATTCAGTCCCGTAGATGATAGCGTGATAATATGTAGCCTATATGTTTACCAGACTTGTTAGTAATATTCATACAAAATTTGAAATAGTAGTGCAGTACTTTTTGAGATCATCACGGCCATACATACAGACAAACAGACAAAAATTCTAAAAACCACATTATTGGCTTCGGTATCGATTAGAGATCACGCTTCAAATATTCTTTTAAAAAATATTCAATGTACAGTTTTGACTTTTCTACGATTTATTATATGTGTAGATAGCTGTTGCCCGCGACTTCGTCCGCGTAGATTAATGACTTCTGACAGAATTAACCAGAATCAATTCAGTGCCCAAGTAAGATTTACCTATTTTGAAATGATTTATCGTAGTTTCAATAAATAAATAATCCCGCAGGGATCTTACCAGTACAGTGCCCGATCACGTAAGGTTTGAGTAATAAAAACTATTCTATCGACTATTGTTGTACCGAATCTCTCTAGAATAAGTTCAGTGGTTAAGAGTTAGAGAGTCCTGGGGCATTGACGCATAGTTCCCGTTCTCGTGAGACATCTGTGAAAAAACTATCATACGTTACCCAGGTCCCAAATCATCGTTTTACCGAATGTAATTCAAAAAGATTCAATGATTCTAAATTCAACGGCTAAGAAGATTTATACAAACTCTCATTCCCTATTTTATCCCCTTAGGGGTGGAATTTATCAAAATCCTTTCTAAAGAGATACCTATGTCATAGTAACTTTATGCATGCAAAGTCTCAGCCCGATCAATTTAAAACTGGCAAAGTATCATACTTTGGGGTGAGAATGTTCAAAAACCTTTCTAAAGGGACGTTTACGTCATAATATCCATCTGCACGCCGAATTTCAACCCGATCGGTGTAAAACTGACAAAGCCTCACACAAACGTTCATCCCCTATTTTACCCCCTTGGTGGAAATTATCAAAATCCTTTCAAAGCGGATGCTTACGTCATAACATCTATCTGCATGCCAAATTACAACCCGATCGGTTTAAAACTGACAAAGTCTCATACAAACTTTCATCCCCTATTTTACCCCCATTGGGGGTGGAAATTATCAAAATCCTTTCACATCGGATGCTTACGTCATAACATCTATCTGCATGCCAAATTACAACCCGATCGGTTTAAAACTGACAAAGTCTCATACAAACTTTCATCCCCTTTTTTACCCCCTTGGGGGTGGAAATTATCAAAATCCTTTCTTAGCGAATGCCTACGTCATAACATCTATCTGTATGCCAAATTTTAGCCCAATCTGTCCAGCGGTTTGGGCTGTGCGTTGATAGATCACTATGTCAGTCAGTCAATCAGTCAGTCAGTCAATCACCTTTGAATTTTATATATATAGATAATTGTTTGATAGGAAATCAAAGCGGACATTTAGTTTTTGTTTAACCAGTCTGGTAATTGCTGAACAAGAAGTCTTGAAATCGAAGGTCAGGCAAAGTATTGGTTGATAATAATTTTATTATCTATAGATTGATGTTTTTAATAGCACTAACTATTATTGTAGATAAGGAGATATTTAAAATTAAGGTAAAGTTAAGAAAAAGAAATATGAGTTTTGTTAATCGATTTGATTATGATTGAAATACCTAACTGAAGACCCATTTGTCAATCAACAGATAATTCTAAATATAAAATAAAATTATCGTCTGACAGTTTTAGTATGAAAGAATTCTCAAATATTCAAAGCTATTTCTTGGTTATCATTTATCTGGTATTGGAAATATTGGCCCAAATAGATAAATACAACAATTTACATGAATCGAATAAGAGAGAGCAGAAAAATCTAAGAATAGAAAATTGTAAAAAATAATATTGTAGGCTTTAAAATACTGATTACAAAAATAATTAAAAACAGATACAAAAATATAATACAACTTTAAAAAAATACTTAGTATGTAAATAAACCAGAATAAAGCAAATAGTTTTAGGTAGGCTAGCTAAAACATTTTGATCGAGTAAGTACAAATATCTAGTAAAGTTGAACAAACGCACATCACTAAACAAAACATCTCAATCTAGAACAACATTCAACATTTATTACAAAAGTTTCCACTTTATTAGAAAAGGGAAAGTTAGCGAAATAATCTGTACGAGTACTTACCACACAGCGAGAGCAATGCCACCGCATACAATACAATCCTTGAGAGAAGAAACTTTTTATTCGCCATCTGAATACAAAACTTTCATATTTTATTTATTTATACTTCACACATATTTATAAAAAAACTAAAGTAAAGTATTAAACTAATACCTTTTTTTAAATGAGAGACTTTTTGTAAGACACAGAGCGGTCGTGTTTTTAGTGTGTAGCGTCTGCCCGCCGACTATTCAAAGTTCGTAGTTCGTAGCGAGTCCACTTAAAGGCCTACGGTCATGTAAAGAATCGTACACATGCGACACGACTGAAGCTATCATAGAAAACGTGTTTGATATTATAAGCGATATAAAATTTGTGTGTCACGCTCTAATGACATTGAATTAATGTTTTCATGTATGTTATGTTTTTTATTGTAGGTATATTCACTAAAATGTCTGATATGTGTGTAATTTTTCATTTATTGGATATTACTTTGGTTGAGGTTTTGTTCGTGTTATTAAAACGAAATTATCATTTATGTCTAGATCTTGATCAATATATCTGCTTAGTTCCTACTTGTATTATAAGAAACTCGAAATTCTGAGGTTTCATTAATCTTATCGTCATCTCTAATTATATGTAAAATAAATCTTAATTTATTATTGTTTAATTATATCTCAATAACACTTAATTCTTACCTTCAAACGATTGATGAGTAATAAATGAAATAGAATCAAGACTAATTAAATACTATATTATTATAACTTGAAGCTCCTAAAAAGTTTGGGCTACGAACCACATATTTTAATCACGTTCATATGTACATAAGACCGCTACGTTAGGTAATATTAAAATGGCGTTTCCGGACTGTGTAACATAGCCCACATTATTATGATCAATAACTAAAAATACTTCATTATTCATTGCTAGTTTTACTTGCAACCTTCGACCGCGTCAACTACGATAATAAACGATAACAACAATATTTTTAGTGGACGCTAGCGACGAAGTAATTTGATGTGCAATTATACTCAGTGGAATGAAAAGAATCCGCGTCGGTCGACGGAAATTCCCTAAGTTATTTCTAACATAAAAATAAACTGAAACCATTCTACTTTGGTCTAGAAACTTTGCAACATTAGCACTTGTTTGTTGTCGAGAAACTTTACTATTTCAGCGATTATGATTGGAGCGCTCTGTAGCAACAAAACCTATATTTTATCGAACTGTGCGAAGCCGTATATTATTGTAAGACATAGCCATTTTCTCGGTTGTTTTCCCCGACATAAAGTAGCTTCTTAGAAAATAAGGTCGCTCTTTAGAAAATACGATCGAGCAGGGACAATAAATTGAGGCATGAATAAACACTCAAGAAAATAGATTACTTACCTAAAGGCAGGGTGTTATTACAATACGGTGAATACAGCATGTAGTGCACGAAATTAATGGCGAGGGTGAGGGTTGTGTTATACCAACTATAGACAAAACCAGATTGAATGAAATTCTCAGTATTTTATTGTATAAACATTTAAGGTCGTTTACATTTTAGATATCGCTTTTTGTTAAGTACGTGTACCGCCTTAGCTTCATCAATTATACAACAAAAAATATTATTTCTAACTTATCCATAATAAACTTTCCAAAATAATACACTATATTAGTTACAATTATTCATTACATTTAATAAAAAGGTTATTACAGAGTAACTTTCCAAGTTTTATAGAATTCAATGAAACCGGCTTTAGTCCTTTATCCTCTTGTAAAATATTATCTGTGAACACGAGAGGGGTGAATGAAGGCGAGTATTTCGGAAACTGTGGCCTTATCGTGCTTACATTCAGCCGCATTTCATGGCGTTACCATATATACGCGTCTTAGCCAACGTTTCATCAAAGAGGATTGAATGTTTTTTATGATGACGTCAGAACGTGTGTATCATATTTTGTATACTCAGTTTTAAATATTGTTATTCGTAAAGCTGTTCAATATGCGAAGATTCTGTACCTTTTTAACTGAATTCAAAAAAAGGAGGAGGTTTTCAATTCGGTTCGTATTTTACGTAAGTGTAGGTAGGTCGTGGTAGGTGTATTAGTAGTACTTATATTTATGCGTGTTTTAGGTATAAAAGGACGTGAGCTGCTGTATTATATTCAGTTAATACCTAAACACATTATAGAGCTATTAACCAATTACTGAATTCCTTTTTGAAGTACCTATCTACGAATGAATAACAAACACTTCATTCCACATTTTTGCATAGGGTAGGTAAGTGCAGTTGATGTCAAAAATATCTATCCATTTCTAAGACATTCAGATAGATAGACAGACGACACAACGGTTCACTGAACGCAGGAATAATGTAGAATGCATATTGAAATCTAAAACGCTTTAAAATCTTTTACTATTCTTAGTAAATATATTTATTTTGTACTACGTTTTACTACCTATTTGTGTGAAGAAGTAAATACAATAAAAGCAGTTTATTTGAACGTCTCTTTTCTCGTAAACAAATCAAGTTTTGTGAGTGAAACTACGTCTGAATTGTTGTTTTTACGAGTTTTTATTTAGTTGTATTTGTTAACTTGTTTTCGGTACTTAGGTTACAAGTATCTCACTTTTTAGGGTTCTGTACAACAAAAAGAAGAGGCGGAACCACAGAAATATTAATTACTAACGACCCGCCCCGGCTTCGCACGGGTGCAATATGTATATACATACAAACCTTCCTTAAGAATCACTCTATCTATTAAAACCACATCAAAATCCGTTGCGTAGTTTTAAAGATCTAAGCATACATACGGACATACAGCGAAAGCGACTTTGTTTTATACTATGTATTGATATCTATGAGCAGAACAGTTTTGTAATGAATACTTTGTTATCTGTAGGTATTATGCCTAAAAAGTTCTATACAATGTCAATATCATCATATTAGTCAATTGTAATCATAGTCAATGGCTAGCATGAAGGTGTTGATGGACTCACTTTGGCTCTTCTCAATACAAAAATAATTATTTTTAGTCCACTTCTCTTAGATGAAAAAACAAAAGTTCATACAATCTTTATTTGAAACAAGTCTGTCATAACTATATAATTATGTAAAATATTCCAATAAATGATATTGATACGCAAAATGAGCACAGAGATATAACACATCGGCATGGGAACAGCGATGCATTACCTGCGGCTTCCAGCGTTAAACATTCACGTATTGTGTAAGTTAATCTTAAGAGCAGTTCGGTCGGCTTTGTGTGGATGTAGGTCATCGGTGCAGCCTGCAATGCGACGCCAGCTCGTCATAACGAACGTTCAGCTGAATTTTTTATCACCACGACACGTTCGGTCCGCTCCAAGGGACATGCAAGAGTCATCGTTCCGTGTGTTCGTATGTTCTCGTCTCCAAATATTTGTGAATAAAATATTATAGATGGATACAGTGTTGTATGTTGGTTTTGTGAATAGATACATATGTAACATAATATCATACCTTTCAATCGCAAAAAGGGTTGGTAGAGTCACACAATGTTGCGTCATTGCAGATGCAAGGTAAACAAAAGGTCTTAGTTACGATTCCTTGCAGGTAGGTCAAATATTTTTGGAAACTGTTCAGTTGTTCGAAACTTCAAGTGCCCGATGTATGGCAAATTAGCATTGCATTGTTCCAAACAACCTATAGTTTAATTATCTGATAAATTTGAATGAAATATTTATTTAATTTATCTACTAGTAGGTAAGAGTTTACGTTATATTAACCAATCATTCTTAAGTTACAGACTTAGTAAATTCGTTTCACTTTGAGAGCACTTAAGTTGATAGTCATAAAGTTTTATGTTAACCTCTATAACAATCAGCCTAATCGAGAACTAGGGGCGGTTTTAGTCAAGTTTAGAGACCGATTACAAGATTATAAAAAGGAGAAGCGTATATGTACTGGATAGTATGAATATCATTGTTTAATAGTTACTTGAGGTATGTCATTTTGGGTACTAAACAAAGGGTTTAAAGTTAATATATTTGCTAATGTAACATGTATAATTGCATCATTTGTAAATACTAAACTAGGTTTCTAAATACTTGAATTTGGTATGTCTGCAACTAGGAATTTGTCAGCGCTAAGCGTGGACGCAAATCTGTACAAATAGTGTCATTTATCGCACGTCTGTAACCCCGGCAGCCGGCAGCCGGCAGCCACCGGTGACGCGACGCCACCATCAAATGAAGATAGAACACCCACTGGTCGACCCTTGAAATAAATCTTTCAACAAAGTTTCACTCGACGGATTTCGTTTTGAAAAAAATCAAGAGAAAACTGAACTGTCGTAAAAATGTTCGCATTGTGTTCTTTTATGCTTTTATGTTAGCTTACTACTTTATTTAATAGAAAAGTTCTACGAAAAGTTTTTCTGATAGCGTTGTTTTAAAATTAATTCGTAAGTTCTTTTAGCGGATAGTTAGTTCTAACAAGATTATGAGTTTGATTCTTCGAAATGGTGTTTGAAATTGTCGAAATCTTAGTACGACGTTCTTTTTACAGTTTCTTTGAAAATGTTCAGACTTGTCTAGAGCTATTTTTGTATACATATATAACCAAACACCAAATTACGCTTCAAACAAAAAAGTCACATTTAACCAAACCTCGCGGAAATGTTGTAAAACATTCATCAAAATTTGAAGGGTACCTCTCGATACCTTTTAGGGGAGACTTAGCCCCCTTTTCAACGTTAATGGTGTGAATTTTATAGCGGTTGGAGTATCAAGCGAAGTGTGGCGAGATTTTTGACTCCGGATCGTTCGGAGCATGAGTCCGTGCGTGTATACTCGCACAGATTATATTACTGGCCATGAACTTATGGCCGGTTGCCGTGGCCCATAACTGCAGTGGCCCACTTAGTCCCCTTTTGACCCTGTTGTCAACTCGATGTAAATATAAGTGACCCTCGCGACGTCGTTATAATTGTACCTATCTATGTAAATTGAGTATTGCACACTGTCTGCCTCGCTCTGCCTACATTTACATTGCTAAACCTTGTTTGTAATATATTTTCGCGGTTTTTTGTTTGAACGTAGATACATAGACGCCTTTAGTGTCCTATTTAAATAGAAGTAATTTGCGATATTTTTACGTTGTATTAAAAAGTGCTATAAACTAACTAGAAATCGTTGTTCAATATCCTTAAATAATGAATGACACGTATCAAAAGATATAATCATATTATAATCGACCTAACAATCAAAACTACGGTTTCCCGCTGAGCAATCACTCTTGACACGGCCCAACAAAACAGTGATATAAATTTTAAGATAACAC